GATCATATTCAAGTTGGCCACTCTACATCAACTTTTCGTATGCCAACTTGAGTCGGAGTGTTGGAAAGTTTTTTTTTTTTTTTTTTTTTTTTTCTTTTTATTAGCAAAGTATAATATTATTAATAAGAGTGCAAGGGTACTCTTACCCTTACAAAGTCATTAGAACATCATCATACGAAACAATAAACATAGAACATAATTCCCCTCAAGAGCTTCTGTCAGCCTCTTTGTCCAAAATGCAAATATTAAAAGCACATTCCAGAACTCAGTTAAATGTCTTAAGCGCCTCTTATGGCCTATTATACCACAAGGAAAATAATGTGTATGTTTCCTAGTTTAACATATTTATGAAACTTTTAAATTCAGTTATTAAAATTGTAACTTAATTTTAATTTTCTTGTCTTTAATTTAAATTTAAAAATAATAATTTTTTAATAAAGATATTATAAAGTATGTTGAATTAGAGGATATACTAATAATTATCTATCTTATAATTCCTTTATCAAATCCAAAAAAGAGATCTAAATTTGATCAGATAAAAAATCTCACCAGGGGGTTTGTTTAAAAATCTTTGGGTTTCTTCAAAGCCATAAAGACTATGGCGTTGCAAACCAAACTACTGTCCAAGTGTTAGAAAGTATTAACATTCCTAAAATCAAGAGATTTTCACAATCAAGATAATTAATATTTGATTTTTAAATCAAAATTCAATTTTAGATTGATATAATCTCAGTCACATGAATTTCTCCATTAATGTTATTCCAGCCATTATAAATATGGGTTTTGAGTGTATTTATTATCAAGTAATGCAATTGTATCTTTCAAAGCTTCTTTGTCCATGGATATAAGTCACAACCTATGGTGGTTAACAGAACCACGTATATCTTATCTCTTCTATATTCTTAACTTCATATTTTATTTTTCATGTCTTACTATTAATAATAGGAGTTTATTTGGCCAAGCATCTTGACCAAACAAGTAGGAATTTTGACCAAACAGAAGTAATTTGATGAAATTACTTGATTGAATTGTTGATCTGATTATCTACTGTACAAGATAATAATTTGAATAAAATTTCATTTTGATCGAAAAATGTTGGACGATTTTAGTCAAAAAATTTGACCAAAAATGTTATTACTAAATCTTTTATTTTAAACTAATTTGGTCAAAATAATTGACCGAAATATTATTTTCAAATTCAAAAAAAATTAATATATTTGTTTAATTATAATATACATATAATTACTATTTTTATATAATTACAAAATATATTTAATTAATATTTAAAAATTATTTATTTTCTATTTATTTTATCCAAATCCAAATATATCAAAATTTTAAATTGAATATTATATAACAAAAATCAAAATTCTATACAAATATTTAAATATAAGTTAAATGGTGGGAAGTTAATTGCTAACTTCTTTTTTTTTTTTTTTTTTTAGTTTCTCCATCCCTTAATACCAAGAAAGAGTTAATCACAAATTACAAACTAAATGGGAAACATAATGAAAAATAAAAAATTTTAAAATTTTAATTAAATAAAAAAAAATAAAAATACCAAATGAGATGCCTCCTTAAAAGGCCTTTAATTTCTATTATAAAATCCTACAAAAACTAAATTTGGTATCAATATTAATTGAAACAAATTTGTAAATTGTAAAAGAAATAAACTAATAAGATCAAAATAAAAGGAAGATAGAAAATGAAAGAAATTAAAGAAGATGAAATTAAAGGAAGGAATGTATGAGAAAAAGAGAATGTGAGAAAATGGAAGAGAGGATGAGGGGAATGAATGAAAGAAAAGGGATTGTGAAGAAAAGAGAAGATGAGAAAAAGGAAAAAATGAAAGAAAATGATGGAAGTAAAGAGAAATGAGGAGGGGAAATAATTAAAAGGATGAGAAAGATGAAAAAAATGAGTGTGGAAGGCGGAACAAAGGGAAAAGCTAAAAGAAAGAAGAAGGAAATGGGTAAAATATAGTTTAAATTGCCTAAAGTATTTTTATAGAGGTTAAACTATTTTGGTCAAGAATTTTGACCAAAATAGTTTTGGTACATTTCACATAATTTCTAGCAAAAAAAAATATAATTTTAGACAATAATTTTGATCAAAATAGTTTTGGCAGAAATTTTAAAATGTTTCACTTGTTTTGTGGAGGCAAAATATCTAATTTCAAATGAGAATTTTGACTTAAATAAGTTTGGTAGAAAATTCAAGAATTTTCACTTATTTCTTGGAGCCAAACAATACAATTTCGGTCAAATATCTTGTTTAAAATAGTTTCATAGAAAATTTAAAAAGATATATATATGAAAGAAAACCCCATACTAATATAATTTTTTTTTTAAAAAAAAAGGCAGTTATTTCGGTCAAGCATATTGACCAAAATAGTTTTATAGCAAATTAAAATATATATATATATAGAGAGAGAGAGAGGAAAGAAAGCACCATACTAATACATTAAAAAAAAAAAAAGAAACGGTTATTTCAATCAAGCATTTTGTCCAAAATAGTTTCATAGAAAATTAAAAAAATTTTAGAAAAAAAATAGTTAAAAAATTTTAGGAAAGATATAGTTAAAACAAAATTTTAAAAATTAAAGTGCCATGCTAATACAATTTAAAAAAATAGTTATTCGATCAAAATTTTTTACCAAAAAACATAACTAAATTAAAACAAAAATTACTTAATTAATTTAGTCAAAATTTATGACTGAAATGCTTATTCTTTTATTATTAATGTATTTTGTATAAAATATTTGATCAAATTAATGATAGCGTCAATTAACATTCTTTTTATTCTGACCAATATATTTGACCGAAATAATTTAAACCAAATTATTACATTAAATACTTTATAATCTCACTAAAGCGTATTTTTGGTCAAAATCTTTACCAAATTAAGTTTTTTTTTTTTTTTTCTGTCAACATATTTTCTTGTGCAAACTATTCTGTTCAAAGTAAAGCTATTTCTAGTAGTAGTGTCTATTCAAAATTTATTACACAAGAAGTTAATGTTTTTCCATTTTATATATTTATTTATGATTAGGAGTTGTTAGATCAGTATTTGTGGATATCAAAACTAATTCCTTTCAAGGTGAATAAGGTAAATTTTATTGTGAGACAAAATATATTGTTACATTCTTAGAGATTCCTCTGTCATTGCATCTGCATGGATGAGGTTTTCCAACCACTAGATTGCTCCTTAACAAACTACGAATGCTTTTCATGTATGAAAATGGCCAAATGGGTAATCTAAATTGGACGGGGAAGAATGCAAAAGGAAATTGTGTGGAAAAAGTAGGATATAGTTAGTAGAATATAGTTATCGCCTCTCATTACTTCGTTAAAATTATTTAATTTTGTTTAATTTAATTGTTAAAAATAATTAATAAAATAATTTATATTTATTATTTAATAAATTCAAATCAATTTATAAAATTATAATTTTTAGATAATTTATTTATTTTTTAAAAAAATTTAAACAAATAAAATATTTATATATTAAATTAAAAAATTAATACATATTAATTTCGACTTTAAAAAAATTTAAAATCTCAACTTATATTTAAAAATTAAAATTTCAATTTAAAATTTTAAATTCATTCAATTTTTAAATTTAAATATTAATATTTAATAATATAATTTTTAAATTTTAAATTAAATTTAATTAAATAAAACAATATAAATTTAAATTAAAATTTACTTTTTTTTAACTCTGAACTAACATATATTTTTCCCTTAAATTAAATAACTTTCATATAATCTTAATAAAATACTTGTAATTAATAGTTCGTAACCACACCGAAAAAGCATTTTTCTGCTCACCTTGATCGTCGTATAAAAACAATAGGAAGTGGAGAAACGCATTGGCAGAGGCGCGTGAGGAACTTCTTTTTCATTTTGTACTAGAAAGACATGGACTTCAGCATTTGTCTCAAACTCAAACTTGGTGTGGACCGTGTGGTTGTGGCCACGCGGCCCGACCACACTATAATAATTTTGAATATATTGATTTAATTTAATTATTAAAGAATATTTAATATATTAAAATTAATTTATAAATAAATTTTTCAGATATTATAATTAACTTTTTTAAAAAATTAAAAAGTAATAAAATATTAATTAAATTAAACAAATAGTATGTGACCATAG